CACTTGCGCTCGCTCACACCCCCCCTTTCCTGACCTGCCAGGCTGCATGCTCGGATAAGGGTCTGGTATGAATTTTGGGGGGGACCCCACACCATTTTTTTTTAAATTTTGGCATGGGGCTTCCCCTCAAAATCCATACCAGACCCGAAGGGCTTGGTATGGATGGGAGGGGGGACCCCACTTCGTTTTTTAAAATAATTTTTTAATTGCCGGCAATTCTTTCTTTTACATTCAGCAGTCAGTGTGAACCCTGCTGACAGCTGAAACATTAATGCATGCTTTTCACTACTAAAATACTGCATGGCTTGATAAAATAACTCATGTGATATTTTAGTAGCCTTTTTTAGTGGATTCAAATGTTTTTTTTTTAAATGTTATGCGGTATCCCACCGCATTCTCAGATATGTTAAGATACCACTTAGTGAATTGTGCCCTGGATATGGACCAGTCAAAAAACACCTGTAAACGCAAACCCTTATAAACACGGCTAACCGCGTTTACAAACGCTTACACGCATTTACAAGCATTTGTGTTTGAAACACTAGTAAAATCTACTCCTGAACGCAATTTTTCTGCATTAAAAAAAACAACTGTAAACTCCACTGACTGTAAACGACTGTAAATGACTATGTGTACATGGACACATAGGAAAACATTAGAGAGAGTTCAGGAGCTGCTGAAAAAACACAGAAAAGCTCCTGAACGTCAGTTTATCAGCTGCAGGTACATGAGCCCTATATTGTATCATTTTTAAAAACATATTTTGGCAGTTTAATCAAACCACACATAGAGAGCCTATGCTTTTATTACCTGTTCACATATGCGGATTGGATGCGGTTTGAACCGCATCCAATCCGCATGATATGTGAAATAACATTGCTTCCTATGATGCCTGTTCACATATGACCGCTGCACTGGCAGTGCAGATTCAGTGCGGTTTTAAAAAAGAGTCATGTTCAATTTCTGGGCAGTGCAGTCTGGTTCAGCTGCAGATTACAGGCTATTGACTTCTATGGGAACCGTTTCTAAATTGCATATATGAAAACATGATAAGATCCTGAGCTAATCCTGTCCTGAACCCAGCGGTGGACTGACCATTCGAGCACTCGGGCACTGCCCAAGGGCCTGTGGTCAGTAGGGGGCCCCATGAGATGCCCCTGGTACCTTTCATAGGCTTTTTTGGGTGTGGTTTGAGTGTTGGCGAGGACACAGGAGCCCCATGATTTCCTATTGCCCAGGGACCCCATGAGTTGTCAGTCAGCCCCTGCCTGAACCTGATGTAAACCAGACCTGAACCTGTGAACAACTACTGTATCAATTAGCTGTGAAACCTGAGCTTCAATCCTCACCGCACATGTGTGAATCAGCACTTAAGGTAGGTGGCCCATGACTGTGTGTGTGTGCTTGTATGTATACGCCTAACCTCAGAATGACGTGTCATTGAGAATGTATACCAACTCTGTGTACAAGGAGCCTGGACCCCCAAGGTCTGGCCCTAATTGTCCCTACTACCAATTTCACAACCTGTAATTATTTTAAACATTTGTAGCATACATGCCTTTTTTTCCAGCAGCAGGGTGGTGCAGGCTTTCTTTTTCTCTGAGCCCTCATTAAATACTTTCCTGGCCTCTCCATCTCCCCATCTGTATCTCTCACTTATCATTTTATTGAACACTCTTCTCTTATCTTCTTCCAGAAATTTATTTAATTCTTTTATTTTATTTATTACCCTCTGAATAATCTCTTTTGTTACTTTATGTTTATGTATCTGCTCTAACTCACAGAGTTCACTAAGAAGCGTGTTTATTTTTTCTTTTCTTTCCCTCTTCTTTTTTGCTCCAATCGCTATCTGGATTCCTCTAATATAGGCCTTATGAGCCTCCCACACTGTTTCTACGGACACTTCCCCAGAATAATTTTCCTCAAAAAATTGCTCTATTTTTTTTTTTATTATTTGAGAAGTGTCTCATTTAACCTCCATAATTTCCCCCGATCTGCTCATTTCCCCATAATAATTGCATTGTGACAGGGGTATGGTCAGATATTCACATCACTTCTATTTTTACTTTGACCAGAGACTCGATAAGTCAATGGTCCAGCAATATATAATCCAGTCTTGAATACATCTCATGTGCATGAGAATAAAATGTATAGTCTCTGTCGTTCATGTGCTTAGTTCTCCATATATTTACAAGTTGACATTGGTATATATTATTTTTTTCAAGGATTTCAAAGACCTACTACCATCTCTCTGCACAGGGGACGTCATATCCATCTGGGGATCCATGTAGAGAATCACCTGCCACAATTAAATTGCCTTTTTTTGAAATCCATTAACTTCCTCAGAGTATTTTTTAGGAATACCTCCGTTTTCCTATTCGGGCAATAAATATTTGCTAATGTACAGTCTATGTCCTGTAATTTTCCCTTCAGAAAGAGAATAATCTCCCTTCTGGATCTACCAATCTGTCTTCCAGCTTAAACCTTTTATTTTCGCAAAACCTATTGCCACTCCCTTGGCACGCTTAATTGGGGAATCTGCATAAAACCACATTGGATAATATCTGGAATTTAATTTCACATTTGATTCTTGCACCAAATGTGTCTCCTGTAAAAAAAAAACACTGAAGAAAATCTATGTTGAATTTCTTTAAAAATCCCAAATCTCTTCCCAGGGCTTTTTAACCCTTTAACATTATAGGTCACAAAGGGGAATCTCTTCCATTCTTCTCCTCTCCACACCTCTATCTTCCCCATCTCTTCTCTCTTCCTCTTTCCTCCACATCTTCCCCTTTGTTCTCTAGGATTTCTCCAGACTGATGTTTCTCCCACTATTTCGCAGAGTCTTAAACTACCGATCCCCTCCCCATACCCTCCCCGTCCCTCCTCCACCCCTCCTCCCTCCCACTCCTCTCCCTCCCCTGTCCCACCCCCAACCCCCCATCTCCCTTTAGGCTTACATTTTGTCTATGAATCATTTGTGGTCCTAACCCCACCTTTGATTCAGCTTTTAAGGTGAAGCTCTGACCTTGAACTTTTCCCCAATAGGCGTGTCTCATCCTCCGTGCAATGCCATACTCTAGTAAACTTCAAAGATCATAAGAGAGAGGCAGCAATGGAGGGAGAGAGAGAAAAAAAAAGGAGAAAACCCTCCCCCCTCCCTCCCATCATATTCCTCTTTACTATTCCTACTCTCTATTTCTCCTTAGAGCTGCCTGTCTCCCCTCATTTTCCAAAGCCCACATTTCTCCTTCTTCTTCCTCCCAACCAGGAATATTTATTTTCTCTATATCAAGTCTCTCACAAAAGTCTCTCAGATCTTCAGGGAATCTCAGTCTTGCTGAATGTCCATTTCTCCATCCGATCAAACACGCTAGAAACCCCCAGCTATATCGAACATTCTGTTTTCTCATCTGTTCCAATAACGGTTTCAAAGTTCTCCTTCCTAATAATGTTTCAGCTGCTAAATCAGCAAAGATATGTATATTTATTTTTCCATATTTTATTATTGCTCTTCCTTTTATCTTCTTCCAAAGCTCTTCTTTATCCCAAAAATTATGGAATTGCACTATTACATCTCTTGGCTTTTCCCTTCTATCTTCTTGTATGTTTTTTCCTATTCTATATGCTCCCTCCACTTTGAGAGGCTCTGTTATAGTTCTATCCATTATAGTATTCAGCATTCTCATTATTATTCCTGTCCAGGGGCGGACTGACAACTCATGGGGCCCCCCGGGCAATAGGGGATCATGGGCCCCTGTGTCCTTGCCCAAACTCAAAAAAGCCTATGAAAAAAGTGCCAGGGGCATCTCATGGGGCCCCCTACTGACCCCGGGCCCTCGGCCAGTGCCCGAGTTTCCAAATGGTCGGTCCGCCCCTGTTCCCGTTAAATCTGGAAAGACTTGTATCCTTAGATTGCATCTCCTATCCCTATTTTCCTGGTCTTCCAATTTATATAACAGATTTCTTTGTTCTTTTCTCATTTCCATCACCCATTTTTCTAATTTCTGTATAATTTGGGCATGTTTATCTAGTTTTTCTTCCGTCTCCCCCACCCTTGATAATATTTGCCCCTGGTCTTTGTGTAATTTCGAGTGTTCCTGTTTTAGGGATCTTTCAAGTCCTTTAAACATTTCTGCTATTTCTGCTTTAGTAGGCATCTGTGAGCTCTCCTCTTGTTCTTCTACTTTATCCATATCCACTTCTTCTTCCATATGTTGACTACTGTTAGCTATTCCCAGGGATAGTCTGGAACATTCCCCGCCGTTTTCCCTCTCACCTCTTACACTTATTCCCTGTTGTCTCTCTGGAGTCTGTTTCTCCTGTGAGGGTATATATTTTTAATTGACCCTGTTTGGGAAGTCTTAGGCCATCCTCCCTTTCATACTTTGTTTTTCATGCTGTCAGGGACTATTTCAATGTTCTGCAGTTCTGGTTTTGGGGGGGAGGTCTATTTTTGATTTGATATCAAAATTTGTTGTCTTCCATGGGTATCCCCCTCTCAGTTCTTTTTTTCCTTTTTCTCTCCCCCACTCTTGGGCTCATCTACCCAGGTCCTCTTCTTCTAGATCTTTATCTGTTTTACATTTTCCTCCTTCTGATTTTCCTCTAAGACCCCCTGGGTGAACCCCTCCTCAGTTTCAACATATAGTTCAATACATACAGTTCAGTTCCCATGCAATATATTAATCTCAGTACTTTTGCCGCTCCCACTCACCCTCTTGTCCCAATACAGCTTTTCCGTGTATCATCTCTGATGTGTGTGAAAACTGGGCTTCACTAAAAAGTATTTCCCACACTCAAGGCAGATATATGGCTTTTCACCTGTGTAAGATCTCTGATATATGTAAAGTCTAGATTTATCTGAGAAAACATTTCCCGCACTTAAAATAGGAATATAGCATCTACATGTGAGGTCTCTGATATATATGCAGGCTGGACTTCTGTGAAAAACATTTCCCACACTCTGAACAAGGGTATGGCTGCTCCCTCTTGTGTTATCACTGGTATATATAAAAATAGGACTTACATAAAAAACATTTCCCGCACTTCGGACAGGTATGCAACTTCTCCTCCGTGTAAGATCTCTGATGTGTGTGAAGACTAAGCTTCACTGAAAAGTATTTCCCGCACTCAGGACAGACATATGGCTTTTCACCTGTGTTAGATCTCAGATGTATGTAAAGTCTAGTTTTGTCTGAGAAAACATTTCCCGCACTTAGAACAGGGATATAGCATCTTCCTCATGTGAGGTCTCTGATATATATGCAGGCTGGACGTGGGTATGGCTGCTCCCTCTTGAATTATCACTGGTATATATAAAAATAGGACTTACATGAAAAACATTTCCCGCACTCGAAACAGGAATACTTCTCCCCCATGTGAGATCTCTGGTTTCTATAGAGATTGAACTTCTCTGAGAGACTTTCCCACACTTTAGGACATCTCTTTTTTTATTGCAAGTGAGGGGTGAGGTGGCTCAGGTACTCTCTTCTGGGGAACATTGCACTCAACATTCCCTCACACAATGAGTGGATTGCAGGGGGGGGGTTCACCCAGCCCGTTTCCGCGTGTCTCCATCTGCCATGGTCCTGTATGCAGGAGGAAGAGAGCTGGCGTCTCCCTTGCTCCAAGGAACACCAGCTGGCTCCTCTGTCTCCCAGAGCTCCCTTGCGACAGACCACCTAATCGCCCGGCGTCCACTGAGCTCGGGGAAAACACAGCTCCGGGCCAAAAGCACAGGAAGACCCGCCGCGATGGCTGCTACTCCCAGAGGTCCTCGGTCCACAAACCCCGCCGGCAAGCCCCCCTCTCCTCAGCTAGTCTCTCCAGGGCTTCCCACACATCTCTCCCCTTCATCGCAGGACAATGTAGGTGCTTGGGAGCCATGAGCCCTCACGTCGAGCTCCCGCATCAAGCAATTGGCCAGGCTCCTTCCTCAGTGCAGACTTTCTATATGTGATAGAGAGGAGGTGAGTTTTGCAAAAACATTTTGTGGGGCAAGTATCTTTTGGACTTTTGAACTTTATTAAATTAGCAAAAAAAAAGGCATGAAATATTTTATTATTAGCTTTTATTGCCTTGTTACTCTAAGAACACAAGAGGACTACAGTCCTAGAAATTCAATCCTCATTATGGTTTATATACTTTATTGACTAACATTTTACAAGCAGTTAGAAAATATAGACAAAGAAAAAATGGTTTATGTCACTTATAAACCGACACTTTCTATAAAATGACTTTTAGTTCAATATTCCAACTTTTTCAATACCTAGACAATTGTTGTTGTTTTCAGAAAACTCAGATGTTATAAATGAAGATTAGTGAGCTAGTTTTCAGAGTTAACCATGCATATTCAAGCCAAGACAATGCTTCACAGATAACAATGACAGGTTTGTGATGTTTCATGCTGTTTTATCCTTATTGGTTTCTCCTTGTAATAAGCTTATGTCATTCGTATTTACACGGCAAACAACCTGTTGTTCTATTTTCGAAAGTCACAGGTGTAGCAAAATATTATACGTGTGCATGTGTTGTATAGAATAAACTATGTAATATAGAAAAACTAGAAAAATACAGTATGTAATATGGCCCAGTTTAAATACTAATGGTTGCCATATGTATTGAAACACCTTTATTGAATAGGTCTAGAATTATATTCCAAAAAAACTATGCTGAACCACTTCCCAACCGGTCGTTGTATATAAATGGCCGGAGGGTAGCACTGCAGGGTCAGGTGGCCGTTTATTAATGTATATAAATGTATGTAAATTTATAAACGTCCTCCCCGCACCCTGCTTTTGCTTGCCCCCCGGGAGCGCGCAGTGCCACGATCCAGTGCCCGCTGTGTCCTCCGGACATAGTGAAACAATGATCGTCGGACAGGACCTCTGTACGAGGTCCCGATCATGTGATCACTGATTGGCCAATCAGTGATCACATGCAAAGTAGTAAGCAAGATGTCACTTCTGACATCATTGCTTACTACGTATGAAATCTGTGAATGAACACAGAGGTCACATGGTACAAGGCTATTCACAACAGCCTTGTACCATGTGACAAGCTGTGACCAATCACAGCTCACTCAGTAGTTCTCAATGGCTGCAAGAATGCAGACAGAGAGAAAGAGAAATTATTGCTTTTACATCCTATATGGGTGTAAAAGCAATCAGTGTAAAAAAAAAAAAAAAATCTTCATCACCCCCCAAAAATAGTACAGTGTCACCATGGTGACACTGTACTGCTAGGGTGACAGTATGTAAAAAAATAAATTATAATATAAAAAAATTTAAAAAGTAAAAAAGTGTTTAAAAATTATAATTTTTGGTTATAAGCTAATTTGGCTTATTTTTTTTTACTAAAAAGATAATGGAATAAATTTTGGCCAAGATTTATGATGAAATATTATTTATTTGCAAAATTTTATAAGAAAAATACTTTTTTCAAAATTTTTGGACATTTTCATTTACATAGCAAAAAAAAAATAAAAATCCCAGCGGTGAATAAATACCACCAAAATAAAGTTTTATCTGTCTCAAAAAAATTATAAAAAATTCATATGGGTACAGTGTTGCATGACTGCGCAATTGTCATTCAAAGTGTGATAGCGCTGAAAGCTGAACATTGCCCTGGTCAGGAAGGGGGTAAAAGTGTCCGGACTGGAAGTGGTTAAACCGTAAATATAGCAGTATAGGAGCGCATCCTGACTGATATTTGCACGTTATGTCTGTGCGGATGTATTATGAGTATGGGTGTTTTTTTTATGTAGCTTTCATATAATATTAGTACATTGTATTTTTTCTTTTGAAAAAAATGCATAATCCAATAATTATGATAGCATGAACACCTGTCCCTGACTTCATGACACCATAGAGAATGTTAAATGCAATTCATACATGGGAGTTTCACAAACTTTCAAACCTCTCATCATGTTTTTTAGGCAAACAACATCTTTTTGACACATTTCATGAAACCATGGTAATTGGATTAAACTGACTGAGTTACCCACATAGCTATAAATGCTGGAGTATGTTCCAGCTATACATTTAACCTGGGGAAGCCACATGGAGGAATGTTTAACCACTTATGTTCCATCTTAAAATGTTGAAGTGGTCAGCACCTATTTTTGCAGTGTACTGCAGAAACCACCATTGAGTAGCTGCTGCACCAATGAACTCCTGTGAACAAAAACCCACCCCTTCATCTTACAACAAGGGGAGGAAAGAGGAACTAATCAATGAAAAATTAACTTTTTCATTAGTTCCAGATCAATATTAGCAGTGGCAGTTTTCAGTCTAATCTCCATGCTGTCTCTGCAGCTACCTGCATATTAACCCCTTCACCTCCTTTATACTGCACATCTGTACAGTATCCCTATCAGCTCTACCCTCCCACTGTATCTGACCAGTACATTAACATTTTCACCTCCTCCCTCTCTGTTTTGACCTGTACATTTAATGTATCTAGTGCTCCATTATCAAGCTCCATGTTTTAACCCCCTCAATACCAACATGTTTTTTCAATTCCAAAAAAGTGACAATAAAAGAGATCACATTGGGGTATCTACTTTCAAAAAATGGGTGGTTTGGGTTTTTTTTTTTGTACTGTCCTGGCATTTGCTATGTTTATAACACAAAGTAAGGGAGACAGTTTTTGGACTTGTATTGTCCCTTCAATTATTTTATAATAATTAAATAAATAAACAAAGAAACAAACAAACAAATAAATAAATAAGTGATTCTCAAATACCACTAAAATAAAGCTCTATCTGTCTTAAAAATGTAATCTTGGTCCAGTGTTGCGTGCCTGAGAAACTGTCTGTCAAACTATCACATCACTGAAAACAATAAAATGACCTGGTAATGAAGGGGTATTGCAGGCTAGCTCTGAAGTGGTTAAACATCTTCATCATTACAGAACAAATAAAATTGATTTCCACTTACTACTACTACTATTACTAGCTACACTGTGACAAAGGTAGATGTAAACGTTAACAAAGTACTGAAAATTGAAAGGTCAGATAACAACTAATATTTCATATATATCAGCTCACTGGGGTTTATTTACTAAAGTCATGCTCACTTCTTCATAGAAACCAATCAGCTTCTAACCTCAACTTGTTCAATTAAGCTGTGGCAATAAAACCTGGAAGCTGATTGGTTTCTATGCAGAAGTGAGTCTGATTTTGTACTCTCCAGCTTTGGCAAATAAACCCCACTTCTACTTCTAGCATACGTGAGCTGATGTACAGATGTTTTCTTTTTAAACAAAATAGTTCAGTCCACATTTATGTTTTAAGCAACTAATAAAAACTATTTATGTGGGTGTTACTCTTTTAAGACATCACACTTTTTTTTATAAGTTACAAAATTCAAACTGCTGAAAAAAATGAATCATTTATTAGTGTCAACTGACAAGGCAGGTACGATTTTATTTTTTGTCACAAACTTACCAAAACACTGTAAAATATATTAACATTTATCAATTGTGATTTTTGTTTTCTGGGAGATACAACGAAGGAACACAAGTGATACAGAGACCATATCTAATTATCTAGTGTCATTTTAAAACAATTATTGAGGTACTAATTCAAGGCAATAAATGTGAACAAAGTACAGTAAGATGATGCCTGCCAGAACTTAAATTGAAGTCTTTATGAACAGATTGTCAACCAGACTGTAGTAATAATCTTCCTAGCCACCATGCTGTCTTACAGATTGCTATTTTAAGCTGCTTCCATTATCATGGTGGTTTGGCAGCAGATCCAAAACTTCAGGTTGGGCATTTGGATTTAGCTGCATAGTCTGTGAAATAACTGACTTTTACAAAATACAAAATATACTTTTTATAATAAAAAGATACGGATACACTGTTGAAGGCCTAGTATCATTTAACAGGTCTTGAAACAAATGCACATTTTTCGATTCTGCATTCCTGGAATTAAAGCCAAACCTAATTATCTGAACTTTCAAAGTTCATTCCACTAAATAATTCATGACATATTTTGTTATTTTAAAAGTTAATTTTGTGGGTCACAGGTCTACAATCAGGGCATCATAGACTATAATTTAAACAAAATTACGGAGCTTTAAAACTTGGACTGAACATTTGTGATGAGCAGGAAATGCAATAAGTTGATCCATTAGTGAAATGTGTAAGTTCATTAAAGTTTGGGTGAGTGTAAGGTATTTGTGATTTCAGATAATTATGTCCTGGGTTGTGCTGAAGGTATCAACACAGGTTATCACAGGATATATGGCTAATGGGTTACTTTAGGGCCAGACCAACAGACAGCAGTAAAACTGTTTATTTTCTACCTTGGAACACACAAGTACCTAATTTGTGATATATTAGGAACAATATACTAAGGAATATTGATGGT